GATCTTGATTAATAGCTAAGATTGCTAGCTGTATATCAGATTCATGAGAGACGTTGTGGGCTTGATTTGATAGGGCCATAGTTGATCAGAGTTAGAGAGGTGCGCAAAGTTGGTGGGGTGGCCCGCTCGCTTGTATGGCCCGCTCGCTTGTAAAACACGTTAGGCTCTCTTTAAACATAAATCATATCATGTTAGCAAGGTAGTAAAGAAAGTGAAAAGAAACACCTCCCCCTTAGGTCTCTTGTTCCTTATCTGCCCCTTTGCTACTCTTTTCTCTCCCTCTCCCATCTTATACGTTTTCTTTTTATGGTATTTTAACTCTTATTTATGCTTTTATCGGAGTTTATACGTAGAGAGAAAGAGAGGAAGACGAATCAAGAAGGATGGACATCGGGAAAGAATGGAAGGTAGAAGCGGCTTTAATTACAGTACGAGATAGATTACGATCAAGCTCGAATCCTAGCGGAGATGGGTATAGATAGCGCAACGCCAAGAAAGGGACCCCTGCTTATAAGGGTGACGTATGACTTTTGCCCCTTCAAACATCCGAACAATTTTGGTGGTTTCTTTGTACCAATGTTTCATGGTCACTAGCGTTTACAAGAGTTAAGCATACTATAAATAGTAGTGTATTGTAAGGGGCTGCGCCCTGCCTCTTACGCAATCTTCAACATCGTGAAACCGACTGTGAAAAGCTCAGCCCTATGCCACTAGACCATCACAACCAGAAAGGTGCAATTGATTAATGTTCTGCAAATTCTTTGCACAGAACAGTCGATGGACTAGCTTTCGTGGAGATCTTCTGCTGGACAGAGGAGACCCTACGCCTGATTGAAGCAGCTTAGCTATCATCTGTCCGTGAGATAGTCCGTCGCACTGTCCTACAGCTCCGCTGACCCACCCCCTTTCCCTCGTCTTGTTTCAACAGGTTTACGTAGTTTTTGTCATCTAGCGTCTCTTATGACCTCACACTCTCACAATGGATGATTTTGGAAAGTTGATGAATGCAATCAACTAGCATTGAAGTTCGGAGTTGGCCAGAAAATTCTTTTCGCAACCTTTACGTAGAAGTTCGAAGGTCTGATGTTGTTGAATTCCGGATCATACTCGATTGGTTCCACGCTGGCATCTGCAAACGCATACTTGTAAGCCAACTCTACAACGGCAACCTTGGCCTCTAGCAATGCTGCATTGAATCCAATGCAGCCACGTGCGCCCGCAGCGAAGGGCACGTACGCAGAACGGTGCCGTTCCTTCACGCGTGTAGTAGCCCAGCAATCGGGATTGAAGCTATAAGGGTCGTCCCAGTGTGCCGGATTGGTATGCAAGTGGGGAAGACTAGGGATCAAAATGGCACCTGCAGGTAAACGGTAGCCGCCAGGCAGAATAACTTCTTGTCAGTTGTTGCGTGCTGGTTGAAAAGACGGGCTATGCAGGCGCTGTGTTTCTTTGACGAAAGCATCCAGAAACGGCAGCGCCTGCAGTTCCTCGTACGTCCACTCTTTGGTTGCTGCTGCACCGTGATCTACCAGCTCTTGCAGCAGCCGCTCTTGCATCCCTGGGTAGACGGTAAAGGAATAGATCAGCCAGGAAAGAAACGCTGAGCTAGTTATGAAACCAGCCCCCAGAAGCACCAAAATGTTGCCTCGTATGTATTGCCTTTCATTGTCTTCCCGGAGCCATCCGTGGCGCGAAGCAGGTAATCCACAAGGCAGGCAGAATCAGTAGCTGTAACTTGAAGGGGTAAGCCCGTTGATTCTTTGTGGGTCCAGTCCAGGATCGACTGATCGATGTAGGTGTAGGCCTCCTTCAAGCTTTGTCGGAGGAGCGCCGGATCACCTATTCATAATGAGCTCGGAAAAACCATGCGTAGAAAGGACATGTACCGATTGGGAGATACGAATACAGCTTGCCTCGCACCTGAAGGCGAGTATTCAACTTCACAGCGGGCTATCGCATACTACCCGCGCTTGCTTCGATCCGCCGCCGCGATGTGTGGCCGTCCCGTTCCGCTGCAGCCGACGAATTTCGCAGGAACAAGTAGTATTACCGCAATTGGGATGAGCGTGTGTTGCAGCGGTGGCTGCAGTACGGCTTGCGCAATCTACCCACGGCTGTGTACCCGCGCCACATCCAAGTGGCCGGGACTGAAGCTCACGTGACGCATGAAGAAGACGCCGCTACTGACGCTGTCACGCTCACCACGACAAAGCACCAGGAAGTCTTCACTTTCCTCCGGCCAACCTTCGATGCACACGCTTACCCTGGGCTCGGCGCACAGCTTGGGGGGCCAAACAGTGCGGCGTATGCGGATTATACGCCTGAGGCGGCACTACCGGGCCAGCCGCTTGAGCGCGCCGAGTCCGTCGTCGCATTCCATATGTTGCCATATGTGCGGCCATCGGTGCTATACGTATTCGGCAGCGAATCCCACTACACGGCGTGCGAGCCGACCGCTGACAAGGTCGAGTCAACGGGCGTGGGCATCGGCGGGAGTGGCGGTGCAGCCAAGGGCCGAGTGGCGGAGGTGACGGTCCAGGGTGTTGGCCATCTAATTCCGATGGAGGCCGTTGACGAAACGGCGGAAGTCAGCGTCAAGTGGCTAGGAGATGAGATGGCGGCATGGAGAGAAAAGGAGATCGTCGAGCGAAGTGAATGGGCGTACATTCCGGATGAGCAGAAGCGGACCATTAGTGATCAGTATCTCGAGGCGTTGAGGAGCGAGACGAAATCTGATGCTGCACCAATCTCGAAACTCTGATTGTATGGCTTGATGAACTCAATAATAAGATACTATGACTCCAGTGCTTTTTACTTGTACCTCTGACGTCAAGTACAAGAGTACTTTTGGTCGAGTGACAGTGAGTGGAGGCTGTGGAAACTGTTGGTACGCTTAAATCAGGCCAAGCAAGGGATAGGTGCGTAGTCATAGCGACAATGTCTTGAGAGAAAGAAGCAGGTTCTTTTTTCTAGAGATATGAAGTTTTTCCCTCTGCTATATAGTATTTAGGATGACTGAGGGTAAAATGCAAATAGGTTAGAGAACCGTTCTCATGAGCAAGTACTAGACAACAACGAGAAATATAGCAGGTCGGCTAACTGACTATGGGCACTATGGTTATATCAGATAGCTTGACAAACATGTTGCTACTTGCTTTGCACACCCTATGATTGATGGGCGAGATTGTAAATTTGAAATGTGCCAGGAACCAAGTTGATAACGGCAATCAACAGCCAGATCTTTCTAATTTGTGAGATATAGATTCAACTGAGTTTTAGACAAATTTGGCATGATCATCTGATTACAGCTTTAAGTAGGTAAATGAAGTAATTATGCTAGAAACGCTACGACCACGCTATTTCGTGTCTCGCTTTTTGACAGAATAGGCGGTGTGTAAGACATTGATCTGCAAGTTCCAGTAAACCTAACCATTCTGGATAGTGATGATCAATGGGTGGTTTTGTTTTAAAGGATAGTGATTATTTGCATTAGTCTATATATGTACACCCTGAAAACAGTAAAGAGAGACAGATCTGAGCGTAAAAAGCAAACATTATTCTGTCCAATCAATCCATCATTAGTTCATTGCTAGTCACCGCCACATCCCTACAAGCCCAAAGCGATAGCACCGAAGACAATGGCGAAAATGCCGCCCGCTACCTTCTCAGCTGACGCAGCGCCGGTGAACTCCGGGGTGCCGGACGAAGTAGATGAGGGAGTGTGAGATGGGTTCACGGTACCGTTTCCACCCGAGCCGGAAGAAGGGGTAGGCTTGATGCTTATGGTTCCTGGGACTGGCTTGGAAGAAGCCACAGGAAGACCAGAAGAAGAAGCTACAGGCAGGCCAGAAGACGACGCACGAAGACCGTTGCAAAGGCCGTTGTTGCAGGTGTTGTAGGCGCACTGCGCATCGGTCTTGCATGCGGCGTTGAAGTTACCACATCTCGCGATCAAACCGGCGTTGCTGGCCCAGCACTGTACACCCTCGATACACTGGCTAGGTGTGACAAAAGGGTTGCACTCAGCACCCAGAGAAAGAGAGCCAGCGGGCGCGACAATCGTGGGTGAAGGGGCGGGACTCCATCCGGGCGCAGACGAGCTGCTTGTGACGGTCGGTGGGGTTGAGGAAGAAGAAGCCTTGACGCCATTGCAGAAGCCGCCGTTGCAAGTGTTGAATGCACATTGCGCGTCACTGGTGCAAGAAGACTGGAAGTTTCCGCATAAGGGCTGGAGCATGGAGTTGGTAGCATAGCAGTTGGCGCCGCCGGCACACGGAGTGCCACCCGGAGTGCAGTTCTCGCCAAGAGGAATTGTAGATTGAGCTGAGGCGAGGACGCCGGCTGTGGCTAGAGCGAAGAAAGAGTAACGCATGGTGGAGGTTGCGGATATACTGAAGTTGAGATAGTAAGCGAAAGGTATCGAAATGTTTCGAATAAACGAGAGTAGTTGTGGTTAGATTAGTAGTAGTAGACTGGTGATGAAGGATGACAAGCGGGCCTGCCAGCTCTTCTTTATACTTTTGAACATTCGTATTACCACAAAGTTTAAAGGCGTAATACGAGGCTGGTGATCTGGGCCGACCTGACTTGGCGCTCGTAACCCATAGTTACCCGCTTTGGGGTTCGCCACATGATGGCAAGGCGGTGAGCCAATCATCGTCTGTGCTGCGCATCCCAAAATAGAAATCATGCGTCATTGCATCTCCAGCTAGCCATCTTCAGCCCTCGAGGTAGCATTCCAGAGTGTCGCGAACAGCGGGCACACCGAATGGGACGCTATTTACGTACATGGCCTTCGTACTATTGAGGAGCTACACATCTTCGAACAGCCTCGGTCCCAGGTACCTCGACCCAGCACGCAAAGACAAGCACTGAGCTTCCGTGCCCATACTACTCTATCTCCACACGATCCATCGGCTGCGCAAAAACACGACTTTTCCATTTTGAAAATATCGTCTATTTAGCACTAGAAACTGTGTACTGGTCACGCTGCGTCCGGGCACGTGCCATCACGTATTCGCATCTGATTTTGACGGTCTTGTCTCAACACGACACCACTAGCAGCGTTAATTGGTAGTCTACGTACTTGCGTGTCAGCTAAACTAGAGCATCGCGGAATTAATATAGCAAAACGTCCCATTCAATGGCATGCTTTTTGTCGCAACAACCAGGCGACATACACGCAGGCTTACTAGATCTGAGGGCGTTGTGCCGCGGTGACATGCCTATGTGTACGTTCGATGAAAAATGACCGGAGGACGGGTGGCTGTGCAAGGTAGTACGACAAGCGAGCGATCTACTAGCCACTTATGAGAACCAAAGCTAGCACAACAGGATTCGTTATGCTCGTAGACCCACCGTGCCTCGTTCTGCTCGTGTCCGGCCTTCTCATTCCTGAATTTTTCTTTCAGCGCCGTGATGTCGAGGGGGTCGTTATGGTACACTTTACAGAGTCACAGTATCCGGACCATCATCGCAGTACGAACTGTTTGCATGGAAAGGCTCAAAAAGAAACCTAGCGACCAAGTATTCATATGCCTGGGATATACAATAAAGTTCCATAATCAAACCACGACTATGCCCACTCGTGTTGAGAGCTATGTGGCTTGTAATACTAAAGTTGCCCCAACTGGTACGAGGATAGTTGGATATTTCAGGAATTCTCTCACCCTGTTCAAATCCCCACCTCGGACCCAAGGATCAAACAACACGTCCACTGTTACATCTCTGCCCGCATTTCGTGACGTCGCGCAGCATGTACCCCGCTCCCCCATACAGGCGATAGTATATAGCAAGACTTTCCAAAATATTTGTTTCTTTGTTCAAAAGAATCATTCTTACAATACCCGACAATTCATATAGTTACTTGAGTTCTGTTTAGCCAAAGTCGTCTCATGAATCCCACTCACGAGACCACCCGACCAAGCTTCATCAAAAATGACTGTAATACGAAACCCCTCAGGTCCCCACATGACACGGCCGGCGAGCCATGGGAGAGTCAATTTTCTCCCACGATGCATGAATACAATCAATGCGACAAAATAGCTCTTTTTTCCTCCGCCCTAGCCTGCAAACGTACAATGGGCAATCCGGCAACGCATTCGATCTGCAAGCCTTGACGTTGGCGTCTTCTACCACTCGTACATCTATGTAGTATAGATGCTTTACTTGCAAAATTAGCATCACATCTTTCGTCAACGTATCCAAGCTACGAGGCATGATGTGGCGATCGTCATGGCGGCATTAGCTGGCATGTGTAGCGAGTCAACGGTCCCATTCTTGGGAGACCCCTCAACGAACACCACCAACGGGAAAGCCGGATTCTCAAGGAAAATACGGACTAAAAGCAACCGCACTGAAACATACGAGCGAAGCTTGTTTGACAACGTATTTTTTAAATTGAGACTTGCAATAGTTGCAGAATTTTCATCATAGCATGTCTTTCTTGTAGTGCGCTAGATACATTTGGGGGTGTAATGGCGGATCGCAATTATAGAGAGGTGAGAATGAAATCTTCCTTGTACTTGCAACAAATTAAAAAAAAATCTAGCTCTCCCATTGAAGGAACTGTGGTTGTTGTGCATGCTTTGAAGTTTGACTACAGATCGTAGAAGAATCTGTGCACCGGTATATGCTAATGGCTAAGCTGGGAGTATAACGGTAATTGTGGTATGGTGATAAATATGACGACTAACTACCTCTTAAACATATTTCAAAATAGCTGAATTGACAAGGTAGAGAAGCAAAACAAGAACACTTCCGAGTCGCGCCCAATCGGATTACTAGTTGGAGTTTATATCTTTGATGTCAGCTATATTGTTAGTCTCTTACACATTTGAGCACTTTCCACAAGTTCGGATGCAATGATTTGATGATGGGGTCAAGATGGGATTGCGGTGCATTAAGTCTGACGGCTTTATCTGTAGCCAAGAGAGCGTTGAAAGACGACGATGCCATCCATGTTTGTTGTTTGAACATGGAGCGGTCATGTGATTCTTCATAGAGATAACATGTGTGGTATGTGACCAGGACAAGCCAGATACGCAACTGAGCATCGTCAGTCGAGTGATATCCGGCCTGCAGGACATTCCAGCTATTTCTACATGCGCATCTGCTCTACAAATGACGGGACAGATTTGTAGGCTATCTCCTTCCACAACATATACGATTCACGAGTGTTTGCAAAATCAGTGTCTTTCCCAGGCAGCACCCTCGTCTTGCATCACCTAATCTCAGGCCGAATTTTTATCTATAACAACAATCAGTTCCCATGCACGCCCACCGACCGTACCGGCCTCTTGCTCTTGTACAGTCCAGTCGGCAAAACATGGTCTGTAGTCGTCCCAATCGGCTTTGGGTCCAGCCCATATTATCCTCTCCACCGCCCCTTGGCCGTACGCCGTCATATACTCCTGAATCAAGCCAACGCGTCTTGGATACACAAAGAGCCAGATCCGGGCTTGTTCTGCCAAGGGTTCAAGGAAGCGGGTGCCATTGACGAGGCGGTGGTGGGAAGAGGGAAGGTATTTGTTAGGGCCCGGCGCGACCTCAACACCGATGACATGAAAGGTATCGAGGCCAGTCATGAGATATGCTTCAAGGAGGCCAAAGCCACTTCCTATCGAGAGTGTGATACATGGCGGCGGGGCGAGGAGGGTTTGGAGGTACGCGATGAGCTGGGGACTGAGGGCGAGGCAGCTACCAGAGTAGGCTGTCGGCGTAGCAACAAGTCGTGGAAGGGGGGGCAACACGGGCGCATTCAAGAGCACATTTGTATCTGTATAGATATCCGTATCCTTATCCGTATCCATATCTCGTGACGTGCGGTCGTGGTGTCGAATATTCACTGCTTCCTCAGACGACACAGTCAGTCCGAAGGCTGCTGCGAACTGTATATAGAGACTGCATCGATGGGCGTACGTGCTGGATGGATTCAGTAGACGCTACATAAATCCCTGTACAAGTCCGTGGTGTCTCCGTGTCTCCATTTCATCGATAGTGGAGGGGTTGAGATGAATGGGATGAGATGAGCGTGTGGGGGGAATGGAAAATGGCAGTTTCTTGGCGGTCGCGTGGTGGCAGGAGCTATGGAGCTATGACCCACGACGCCTGCACATGCATGCACGAGGCCCGCACCCCGCCCATCGTGGACCCATAGAGACCTCAACACCACCCCAGCCTCTCCACTTCGCGTCATTGCTGTGACTGCTCTGTTGCCGTTGCCTCGTCTGCGACTCAACGAGCCTATGCACACGGCTCCACCAGTGCAGCCATGGCCCGCTATAATCCCTTCTCCTTCACGCCCGCGCCCGTCATCTTCTTCACCACCGCCATCTACGTCGGTCTGTTAGCTGCTCTGCTCACCACCCATCTGACCGTCCCGGACTATCCCTCGCATCCTCCTCCAGGTATCAACCTTACCCAAGCCTGGGCAGACCTCCAGCACATCACCCGCTTCTTTCACCCGTACAATAGCCATGCTAATGATGACGTGCATCAATACCTTCTCTCGCGCATCCAGGCCATCATCGCCGAAAAGGATGTCCAGCCCGACCAGATTGAAGTGCTCAATGATTTAACCGCAAATGTCACGTTCTCGTCCGGTACCACTTCTGTTTATTTTGAAGGAACCAATCTGATCGTCGCCATCCGTGGCTCCCAGGACGATGAACCCTTCAACTCCACTGAGCGCAGACCAGACAATGGCGGCGTTCTTGTCAATGCACACTATGACTCTGTGAGCTCCGGCTACGGGGCGACTGACGATGGCGTCGGTGTTGTAACGGTACTCCAGCTCCTCTCGTACTTCACTGAATCCCGCAACTGGCCCAAACGGACGATACTTCTTTTGCTCAACAATGGCGAAGAAGACTACCTGAATGGTGCCAAGGCTTTCATGAGAAATCCCATATCCCAAGTCCCCCATACTTTTGTCAACTTGGAGGGTGTTGGTGCTGGTGGCCGGGCTGCCCTCTTTAGGAGCACCGATACTGAAGTAACGCGCTTCTATAGAAAGTCGAAATATCCTTATGGAACAGTTGTGAGTGGCGATGGCTTCAAAAAAGGCCTTGTTCGCAGTGAGACCGACTATCGCGTCTTCCATGGCGATCTTGGTCTCCGCGGGCTTGACATTGCTTTCCTGGAGCCTAGAGCACGGTACCATACAATCGAAGATTCGGCACGAGAAACATCCATAAAGTCGATTTGGCACATGTTGTCAGCAGCTTTGGCTTCGACTGCCGGATTGGCCTCTGTAACTGGTACTCAGTTCAGTGGCCCGGAGACTGTCGACAATGGCAGAGTCAATGCAGGCACTGGCAGCGACGGCGTCTGGTTCGATCTTTTTGGCAAAGTCTTTGTTGTGTTCCGGCT